ACTGGGCAAGGGGGCTAAAGCCCTTTGAACTCCATGGGCAGCAGAAGGGCCCAGTCCTCACATCACTCTCCCCGTCCCAGCTGCAGGCCACTCTCCCTGTCCCTAGAGACGGATGGTGATGAAGTCACTTCTCTGTCTCCTGCAGGGCTTCCACCAGTGAGCCATAGGCCTCTTATTACTTCCATTCTGGACTCTGCTAGCCCCCAGGACTAGCTGCCCCCAAATAAGACTGGATTCTCCTACTACTTTCCCAGGGAGGCCAAGTGCCATTACAAGACAGTTATTTGCTGGCTACAGGGCAGTGACCCTATCTTTACCATCATCACCCAAGTGCTCCCAGCCACCTCTGCTGCTGACCTGCTTCCCACCTCCTGCCACCAAGCTGCTCAGTGCTGATGATGCCACCCGGTGGCCACAGCAGGAAGTGCTTAGATGAGCACCTTGGGGCTGCTTCCAGCCCTTGGCCTCCTGCAGCTGAGTGACTTGACCTCTGACCAGCCTCTTCTCACCAAGGCATGCAAAGCTCTCTTAATCCCCGCCTCCCCACATGACTTCCTCCAGCTCTCTCCCACCTGGGCTCTGAGCCAAAAGACAAGCCTAGCTCTGTCCAGTCCATGTGGGAGGCACTTTGGGGACCCAGTTTGGGACCTGAGTCAACACAGAAAATGTAAACAGTGGCCCAAAGTGCCTTGAGGATACTGCGTTTGCCTCCTCACCAGCCACTTGCTAAACCTGCTTTTCATCTCACTGAAAAATGGTGCTGAAGGTCCGTGAGGATCCCTGCTGATGGCAGAGATGGAAGGGCTCCAGTCTGGGGCCTAGGGAGCTGCAGTGTGAGACAGGCGCCTAGGGTGTCCCAGCTAGAGACTGCCAAGAGAGGGACACCCAACACTGAACTTGCCCCCTGGGAACTTTGGGGAGCTGGGAGAGAGGAATGACCTGAGGTTTTAAGGGCTCTCTCTGAGGGGATGGAAACATTCTAAAATCAGGTTACCTAACTTACTGAAACGCACCGGACTGTGCCCTTAAACCGAGTGGATTACATGGCATGTTAATTACACCACAATAAAGCTGTTAAAAATTAAAAAGGGAACAAGGAGTTAGGATCAGCCAGGTGCAGCCACACACCAGAATGGAGGCCAGAACAAATGAGACGAAGGGACCAGTGAGCTTTGACGGCAGGAAGTGACCCTCACCTGCCCAAGTCTGGCACTACTGGTGGGAGGGAAACCTGCCAGTGCTGGTTGGGAAGGGTCTGTTGTCCCAAGGTTTTGCTTGAGCCCTGAGGGGCCTGAGTAGGGGCACCAGGCATGGTGGAGGGCACCCCAGAGTTGAGTGAGGGAGTCAGACACCTGAAGCGCCACACACTGCAGAGCTACAACCAGGGACAAAGATAAAGGGTGCTGTGTCCTGAGGGGGGGCAAAGATAAGAAGCTTAAAGGGGGAGGGGCGGTTGCACATTTAGGCTGAGACAAAGGATGCACAGAAGGTCAGTAGATAGAGTCCAAGGAAACAGAGTTCTAGCGGAGGGGCTGGGGGTGCAGCTCAGTGGTACAGCATTTGCCTAGCATATGTGAGACCTGGAGTTCCATCCCCAGCAATGAAAAAATAAAGAATTCTAGCACAGAGAATAATGCTTAAAAACCAGGAAGTAGGAAGCTGGTGGGACCACCAATTGTGTAGAGCCAGGGCAAAAGCAAGACAAAGGGAAAGAGCCAGGGCCCTACTGGGGGCACCCGGTAGGCCAGAGGAGAGACCAGGTTTTAGCCAGGGGGTCCTCGGGCTCTGGCGGAGGAAGGCAGACAGGATAACAGTGCCAGGAGCAGCCCTCGAGGTCCCTGTCACCTGTGCTGCTGGACCCCTGCACAGCACAGTCTTTCCTGGACAGCTGTTCCTCTTACTCTGGTTGCCAGGCTGCCCAACACTGCTGCAGCCCACTGACCCCAGCATCCCCAGTCCCCTAGGGCAGTCCCACCCTGGGCAGGAGAGCAGGTAACCTCCTGGCTGGTAACAATGCCCACAAATTTCCCTTGTAGCTCCAGCCAGTTCTGCTCTGGGTTTTCCCCCGCCCTCCCACCAAGAGAGGAGTCGAATCCAGGCCTTTCCTAAGCAAACAATCCAACAATGCCCTAAGATCTACTTCCTGGTTTTCCTCTGATTTGAACTTTTTTTTTTTTGAACAGTGTGCACCCTGCTTTCATGACTTTTTTTTAAAAAAGCAAACAAAATTACAAAGCTATTTGTTTTCAAAGAAACAAACTCAACCCTGTTCCCCCATCTGGCTCTATGAGACCTTGGTCCTGCCAGCTCTGCTCATTCAATACAGGGAGTCTTGGCCCTGACCAGGGAGACATGGTTCTTAGTGGCTGCCATGGGACCCTATTTTCCCAGGATGCTGGTCCCCTTTGGAGGTGTCCCTGACTCAGGCAGGAGCTGGAGCTGGACTTTGGCCCCATTCATAGAGCACATGGAGCCAGCCCTTTGCAAGGACTTACTTCCTGGGACCTGATTCTGAGATTAGGATCTTAACTGAACATCTGTTGGCCTTGGGAGCTTGGCATGGAGAGCTGGGTGGGGTACGAGTTGGCCTCACCGCCCATCTGTGGCCTCTGTGCTGTGTGGCCCTGGAAAACTTGCTTCTACTACCTGATCCCACTCTGCTGCCTCTTCCAAAAGCACAGTGTAGTTATACATGGGGTTTCTGTGCTCAGAGAGTCTGCAGGCCCATCTGCAAGACAAGAGTGCTGCTGACATTCATTTCGTCCTGGGCTGACTCTTTTACCTTGCCTGATTGTCTGCTTCCTTCTCTGTGCACTGACTCACCACATCGCTCATGAGTGACACGTCACAGCCCCACAGTGAATCTTTAACCACTTCTCCAGAGACCACAGTTTGAGCGTTGGAGCCAGGGAGGGAAAACTCAGAGGAGGGGGACCCTCACCAATTAGGGGCTTCCTGGAGGAAGTGGAACTGAACCAAACAGGGCAAGACTGAGCACCAGAGTCAGGTGGAACAGGGAGGAAGCAAGGAAAGAGCAGGCACACATGCCTGGAAGGAAGAATGCTGGGTACATCCCAACTTCACTGCCCTGTGGCAGGAAGATATGGCATACCATGGAAGGGGGGTGCCCTGGAAAGCTGGCCCGCCCAAGCCTGGTCAGTGATGCCTCCTTCCCTCAATGTCTTCTGATATTTTCCATCAAGAAGCTTGAGTTGGTTCCAGGGCCCTTGGTTTCTCTTTTGAAAGAGATTCTTCTGCTGGGCGTGGGCCCCACACCTGTAATCCCAGCACTGAGAGATGGAGGCAGGAGAACCACCAGCTCAAGGCTAGTCTGAGCTACACAGAGAGTTCCAGGTGAGTCCCAGCTATATAGGAAGACCTTGTCTTCAAGAGAGAGAAGGGGGAGGAGAAGAAAAGAAAAGAAATTCTTCTGCATATACCAGAGTCCCTGGCACCTCACTGGGCACCCTCCAATCTATCCAAGCTCCGACCTCATTCTCACACCCCTCTGCCAGGCAGATGACTAGGCCCATTCTGAAGACTGGGAAATCGAGGTGCACCAGAGAGTCTGGATCCCTCCATGCCTGAGCTCCTGTATGCAGGGACTCTGGCAGCTATGTGTCTTTCAGCCTTCACCTGGGGCCAGCCATCCAATGAGAGTTCTATGAGGAGAAGCTGGGGGACAACCAGGGGAGAGACAGTCCCTGCTCCAGCCTTAGCCCTACCAGGGGCAGTGGCCAAGGTGCCTGGTGGGTGGGAGGGAGACCCAAGGTCCCTGCCTTCCCCCAGGAAGTTCACAGGTGTAAGGGAGGATGGGTTACAGCTCCTTTCAGAGAAGAAAACCACAGAAGTCACAAACCCAGCCCGAGCCTACAAGTGCAGCGAGGCCAGTCAGGTGAACCACATGTCTGAAAGATGGATGGATATTTCCATAGTTTGGGGACAGATCAGGGCGATACCAAAGAGAAAAACACTAAAGGAAAAGACCAATGGACCTAACTAAATTTAAAACATGTAGAAGCTTCTGTGAGAGCAAAAAACAAGCTATAAACAGGGAAGACACCTGTGACATTCGACAGACACAGGGTTAAAAACCTCCAATCCAAAGGGCTTTAACAAGCAAAAAACCTAACCCCAAATTAAAATGGGCAACTAAAATTTGGAATCAATCATCAAATAAATTGAAATTAAACTTAAGAGGAAAGAGTATCGTTTCGCCAATCTGATTGATGAAACATCAGAAAAACGCAAATTTGAGCCACGCCCGGCGTTGGCAAGAATGGAAACCCGGCTCAGCGCGGAGGCACCGCGGGCCGCAGCTGCGGGCTGTGGCGTCTAATGTTTGCAGGTGTGAGTCGGTCAACCCCGAATCCCGCGACACCTGTGTGCGGTGGGAAGCGGCCGCTGGCATGAACGAGGGGAAAGCCGCAGGATGGGGACCACGCAGGTGGCAAGGATCTCGCAGAGTACCAAAAGACAAAGAGGAGTGGCCACAGAGTATTAAGCTACCTGTGAGCACAGACAGGTTTCTTTGGTACAATCTTTGGGTCTTTGGGAATTCTGGCTCTTTTGGGGAGGTGGAGGGTTCCAACCGCCCTAAACTCCAGGATTCTTGGTGGGTTTGGCTGTGTCGCCCGCCGGCCGCGGGACCCAAGGAGATCTGCACACAGCAGGCGCCCACTGGTTGCCAGCGAGGAACCCGCGGCGTAGCGCTCCTCTCGCGTAGCACACACGCCGCGTCCCCGGGGGCCACCGCCGCACCCCGCGTCCCGGCAGTGGCTGTGCGACACCAGGCTCGGGTCCATCGGCCTCAGGAGTCCGAGGCAGAGACCCGAAAGGAGCTGCAGGCCGGGGCGGGGACGCTGAGGAAGGGAGCGGCACTCGGAGCCTCCCGGGAGACAGGACCAGGCCACCCGGCGGGCATCGGCTGGCGCACGCCCCGACTTTAGCCACGCCACGGGTGGCGCCCACCCGGGTGGGAGCCCGCGCCCCGCGCTCACCGAGCATCTCCTTGCGCCGCTGCGTGTGCGGCTGGTCGGTGTAGACCCACTCGAAGTCGGTACGACCCGCGCGGTTGCCCATGGTGCGGACTCTGTGGCCTGTCCGGAGCGCTCGCACCGGCTGACTGCTCACCTGTCGCCGCACCCGCGCCGCGCGTGGCTGGTTTGGGTCTCGGGGGCGGGGCCGCCCGAGGGGGCGGGGCCGGGGGACCAGGTGCTCCCGATGGGCGGGGCCGCCCGAGGGGGCGGGGGAGGGGCGGGGCCAGGTGCTCCCGAGGGGCGGGGCCGCCTGTGGCCTCGCAGAGCCCTGGGCTCCTGGACCTGAGGCACGTCATGGTGGCCCGTAGAGCCTCGGTTGAGAAATGGGGCTGTGCGTGCACCCTGGCAGGACTCCGAGGGCCGCGCCGAGAGTCCCTGGATACTTCATTGCGTGGCGACGCCCGCTGCCACCCACAGGCCACGAGCCCGAGGTGCTCACTGTGGCATCACCGCCCAGCTTGCCCGGAACGAGTCGTCGGGCCTCGTCACTGAGCGCCAGTTTTCCCTGTGGCCCAGACCCCCTTGGCTTTTGGACCTCTGTGAATCTGGCAGCCTCTGCCCCACGGAGGAGTGACGAGTAACCTCACCCAACTGTCGGGGGAGGAGGGGACGGGGAAGAGGAGGGATAAATGGATGCACCAAACAGAAGGAGCACAGAGATGCAGCGCTACCGCCCCTACTGGCCCCTTTCACCCCAAAACGCAGACCCCACCTTCATAGAACTTCAGGTCCCCCGAGAGACACAGGTAGAGAAGTAATTCAGGGTGATCTGTGCTGTGACACAAGACACGCCCCAGAGCAGCTAGGATCCAGTAGCGGGAACTTTTGCCCTGGGCCTTGTAGGATGAGTAGGAATTCAAAAACTTGAAAAAGAGAAGGCCTGGGCGGTACAGGGAACAGCTGATGCCAAGGCTCAGAGGCAAGGAAGAACCTGTGGTTGTGACATTCTGGAAATGATGAGGCAGGTTTTGGGGGTGGAGAATAGGGCTCCTCATCTTCACCTCCTCTGCTTCTCTGGAGCCTTAGAAAGTGGACTTGGTGGACCTAAAGACCAAGGCCTGGCTTCTGCTGGAACTGCCTGGCACTGCCTGGCACTGACAGGACAGGCACAGGTCTGGCACCTAGCTGTGGTGAGCTACCCGCCTGGAAATCCATGGCCCAGAGGCAAAGCACCCCTGGGCTGAGGCAGCCAGTGAGTGCCAGCCCCAAGCCAGGTGTGGGAAGGGGTAGGCACAAAAGCCAGCTTCCCCATCTGCCAGGGAGACGCTCAGAACCGGGTGCTGTCATCCACTGCAGCACACTGCCCGAGTCTGTAGGCCTCACACCTCCAGAGACAGGAAGCTCGCTGCCCTAGTCCCAACCAGAAGGGTCCTCAGAAGCCACTCTACCAGCTGCCACTTTACAGCTGGGGAAACTGAGGCCCAGAGACAAGGGCCTTGACTGAGGCACACAGGTATAAGTCCCAAAACTGGAACAGGACCCTGGCCCTCACCTTTGGCGTTCCCCGAACGTTGAGCTCCATAAGCGGCCATCTTGACACTGGTATCTGGGTCCCAGCTTACCTTCTGGCACAGCACCATGCCTGCCAGCTCCCTCTGCCCCAGGATGAGGGTTCAGAAAGCCACCACTGTTACCTATCACTTCTCTGGAGGACACCAACCCCATACTCTCATTTCACGGGTGAGGAAACAGACACGAAGACAAATGAGGCAAAGTATATGAGAGTGGGTTATAAGTTCAGGATGCAGAACTCCCAATCTCCTGTCCTTGCCAAGTAACCTGCAAGTCCCTGAGGTCAACTGGAACCATAGAAACTCAGTGCCACCATGGGGGAACTTGCCCCAACCTGTACTGGGTCCTAGGAACAAACGAAAAGACATACCTTTGTAATGTGCTGTCTGAAATGGGATCCTGCAACAGAAAAATGCCACTGGATAAAAACCAAGGCAATCAAATAAATGAATGGATATTTGTTCATTAATTGTAACAAATGCAGCCTGGCACAGTGGTATGTGCCTGTAATTCAGGCGTTCAGGAAGCTAAGACAGGAGAATCAAGAGTTCCATGACAGCCTCAGTTATGTAGCAAAACCCTGTCTTAAAATGAAAAAAAAAAAAAAAAAGCCAGGTGCTGGTGGCTCACGTCTGTAATCCCAGCTACTCAGAAGGCAGTGATCAAGAGGATGGTGGTTCAAAGCCAGCCTGGTCAAATAGTTCACGAGATGCTATCTTGAAAAACCCATCACAAAAAAGGCTGGTGGAGTGGTTCAAGATGTAAAAGCAACTACTTAGCAAGTGTGCGACCCTGAGTTCAAAAACCCTGGTACTACAAAAAAAGGGAAAAAAAATGTGACAAATGTACCATAATATCATAAGACATTAAAATAAAGGCAACGGAGTTTAGGACATATGTTGAACTTTATATGCTGTTTTCATAATTTTTCTGTAAATCTAAAACTTCTTTAAAATAAAACTTATTTTTAAATTATTTATAAGTAAAGCTTTGGTTGTTTTGAATATATATGTGTATCTGCCATTGTATAGTGCCTAATGACATTTGGTCAATGACAGACTGCATATGGGGCAGTGGTCCTATAGGATCAGAACAGGGTTCCTATGGCTGAGCGAGATCACAGCACAGTTGTGGTGATACTGATGCAACGGACCTACCAGTCATACAAAAGCACTGACTGTACAGTTATATTGATGCTAAAAATACTATTTTATACAATACAGCATTTATACTATGCTGTAGTTTTTAAGTGTTATTTTCCACTGTGTTCCTTCTACTTATAAAAAAATTTTACTGGGGTGTAGCTCAGTGGTAGGGTACTTGCCTGGCATGCTTGAGACCCTAGACTCGAGCACTGCAAGAAAACCACGTCTGGTGACTGCCGAGGCTCTGGATGACCTCTTCTCTTTGCCTTATCTCATGGTGCTTCAGTTTTTTTTTTTAACTTTATTAGGATATATTGGTTATAATGGGGGCAATTCCAACTAGACTTATAGTGTACATTATTTACATTGCCCCGTCTTTCCCCCTCGCCCCCCGCCTGCCCCACTTAAAGCAATTGCAAGAGGTTTCTTTGTTCTGTTTCATGTAAGTATATGAAGTCCATCCACCATATACCCTCACCTTAATCTCCTTCATTCCCCCTCCCCCTCCCACTTATACCCCCTCACACACACTGTACCCATTTTACAGTCCTCTATTTCATTATCAATATTTAAGTTCAAAAGGGTCTCTCAATGTACCCCTCTGTGAGTGTACTTTACTTTGGTCGTTCAGCCCCTTCCATTTCTCTCCCTTACCCCTTTACCTCCTGCCCCCATTATTCAACAGCTTTCAATATGTTAGCGTGTTCAGTTTTGCCCATTATGGGCCTAGGAGCTTCAGGCTGCACCATCTATGTTTGTGTGCGTGCCCTCTCCCATGTTTTCACAATGACTAAATCACCTAACCACCTGTCCCTGTTGTTAGGTGACACATGACTGTATACATATTGTAAGTCCCTGACAGGTTGACAAACAGGGATTCTTGTAGCCTGGAAACAGACAGGAAGTCCACTATGACCAGTCACTCTCCATTGAGTCCTTCCACACCCCCATGGCCCCTGGCCTGGGCTGGACCCGCTGGCTCCGAGGAGGAACCTGACTGTGGCCCTCTCTGTCATAGTACCTGGCGTCTGGTGTCAGCAGCTGCTGGGAGGTGGTCTCAGATGCAGTGTCTGCTCCCATAGCAAAAGGTTGAGTCCTGCCCTTCACTCACTCCCTCACTGGCAGAAGACAGACCAGAATACACTCCAGATAGCCTTTCCTGCCCTCCCAAGTCAGCAAACAGCAGCCAGACAGCCAGGATGGAGTGTGGGCAAACACAGAAGTCACCCCACCAAATAAAGGCAGCCAGTCCAGGCAGTAGCATAGAGGATCATTTTCCTGGAAGACAGTGTGGGAGAAAGCAGAATCACATGGAGGGAGGACTAATATGTCCCAAGAGACAAAGGACTGAGTATGGGGGTGTGGCTCAGTGGTGGAGCACTTGCCCAATGTGCTCAAGGTCCTGGATCCCACCCCCAGCACCAAAAAAATAAATACATAAATAAAAGCAACAACCTTCTATTGAAAAGGAACCCATGAGAGAAGAGATCAGGGGCAGCTTCAGAACCTCAACATTGGTCTAACAAGATCTCTGGAACAGACAGAGAGAACAGAGGAGAGGCATCATGTACCCCTGCACTGTCTTGTTTTCCTAGTGGAAGTCATCTCACTGTCATTCTAGTTATAATCAGCTATATGTAATTACGGCTATCCCTATCTGAAATAAACTAGTGTAGCATGTATTTATTTATAATCATGCATTGCCTAACCATGGGGGCAGACTCTGAGAAATGCATCCTTGGACAGTTTCCTCGTTGTGTGCACATCATAGCGTGTACTCACACAAGCCTGGATGATATGGGACAGTCCCTGCAGGTGGCCTCCTGATGCAATCATGAGATGCCTTAAACATGAGATGTACTTGAAGTGGCTTCCAGGATAATGTCATTACTGTTTCACAGTAAACTTTGTTACATGGTTAATGATCCAATGTGCACTTTGCATAAGTGTATTTTATACTTCAGTATAACGAGCGACACAACAGTTTTGCTCACGATCATGGGTGTCTTGCCTTTTCCTGCAACATTACAACAGCTGCGTTCTCAGCTTCATGATTTTATGGGACCACCTTCATAGATGTGGGTCTGTCTGTGACTAAAATGTCATTATATGGTGTGTGACTGTGTTTGCTGACCGTGGGTCCCCTCCCCTAGACGGATCAACCCTGCTAGCTCTAATACCTAGAACAATTTCTGGCAAAGAAGATACTCTTAATGATAGTTTGCTAATAAAAGAATGAATGAGTCATGTTGAGTGAGTAGTAGAGAAGGATTTCTCAAAACAGAAGTGTCTTCAGATGGAAAAATCTCAAGGGTGTCAACAACACGAAAACATGTTTGCACCACTTTGAAAACTCTTCAGCAAAATATCCATCTTATCTAGGAAT